TGCCAATTACAACATATTTTACTACTATAATGATGCAAACATTCTGAGAGATATAATGGAAATTCAAGAAGGAGATAAAGACAAGGACAAGACAGGACTCCAGGTGAGGTTAGGATTAAGCAGTTAAAATCTTAGACCCATCAACCAATTCTAGTTTCATGAGATATTTAGCGACTGGTGTACCATGCCTAGGTTTCATTTTATTCAATGTAGAATGTGTGTTTTTATTAATACCATAAAGGAAAGTCAGACAAACAGGGAATGTGCAGTGCTGGTAGAGGATGAGGAAGTGGCTGGACCTTCAGGGCTTCAGGTGAGGTTGAAAGTATTTATTTGGTTTTGTTGGTGGTTTTATTTTGTATATGATTAGATCTGATTTGTTTAATGTACTACATGTGTTTTATTTATTATAGGGAACTCAGGTATTCAGGGAAGATGTAGTGCAGGCAGATATCGAAGCTGGGCTTCAGGTGAGGCTGGAATTATGAAGATAAAATATGGGATTTTTTAAAGTTTCATAACAGTGTATTTGCTATTTAGGAGGCAGCCAATGAGAGTCACTCTCAAGAAAGTGTCAGGGACAGCATATTTGAGATAGGTTGTTAACCATATCAGCCTGATCCTGAATACAGGATATACTTACTATCTTATTTACTATAAACATTTAAGCCATCTTGTGGACAAAGTTAGAATGAATGCAACACAAAACTCAGAAGCTCTGATCCAATTGATTTTGTTTTAACTATTAGAAAAAATCCTTAACTGCTTCTCATTCAGTCTACAGCTGAGTTTAGTATAGAAGGCAACACACTATTGCAAATAAAGTGTGTGATTACACAACAAATTCTGGGGGAGAAACTCTGGACCCCGTGTCAATGGGTGTAGACTCAGGTCGTAGTGAATGTCCCCACCAAGATTGGAACCAAACCTACACCATTGGTGTGAAACATGAAGAAAAGCCTGATATAGGACCTTTAAAGTTGAATAGTATTGAGTTCGAGCCCTGCGAAGGGCATTCTTGTAGTTTCGGAGACCTGCTTTCCACTCCCTGTGGACAGGCTCTGAGTGGGAGTGGCGATATAGCCTCTCCAATTTTCTGACGTCCTGTTTTAAAGTGTGGAGTTGAACACTGTACCAGGGCGACGATGATCTAATCCTAATAGTTTTCTGTTTTAAAGGAGCTGCTGCATTTAATGCAGATTTTAAAGACTCCATAGTGTTGTCCACCGTTTGGTCAATGACTGAGGGACTGCAGCTGCTGTGAACAGGTTCACCTGCAGCAGTATTCAACATAGGCTGTATTAGTTCTTTGAACCTTGTGATAGATTTATCATTTAAGGTTCTTAATCATTTAAGGGACTAAGAAGTTGGTGTGTGATATAATCGCAACACCACCGCCGCGACCTGTAGTTCTGGCTTTCTGGTAGTTAACATGCGTCGGAGGAGTGCACTCATTCAATCTAACGTAGTCGTCCTGTTGGAGCCAAGTCTCCGAGAGCGCAAACAAATCCAAGCCCTTGTCTATAATAAGTTCGTTTATGAGAAGCGATTTAGACGAGATTGATCTGACGTTCATTAATCCACATTTAACAACCCTACTTTTAGAACTATTTCTGTCTGTCTGAACTTTTATTAAGTTACTGTGTCTGACACCCATGTCCACATGTCCATGCTCCACACATGCAGCGCTCCACACATGCAGCGCTCCGCACATGCAGCGCTCCGCACATGCAGCGCTCCGCACATGCAGCGCTCCGCACATGCAGCGCTCCGCACATGCAGTGCTCCACATCTCTCCGCTCCCACCCGTGCAGCCTACAACAGTCACATGTATCTCTGTGATTAAATACACATTGTGGTAACGTGAGCGCTCTGCCTGCTGCGCTAACTTCCCCAACTCACCCCATCAGTTCAAACAAAGTGGATGAGATTAGCCACACACACAGACCTAAACAATGCAGGTTCAATATATTAAAATAATAATAACAATAATTGTTATCTATAATACACTTTATATTTGGCCGTATGTTGAATCATACTGGAGCTTTTGAACGTACTGGAGCTTTTGAATGCTCCTGCCAGGGATCCCGATGAGGAGTGCGTTGCAGTAGTCCAACCTGGAGGAGACAAAGGCATGAACGAGCTTCTCTGCAGCCGGGAGAGAGAGAGAAGAGCGGAGTTTCAAAATGTTACGGAGGTGGAACAAGGAAGTTTTGCAGATGTGATTTATGTGATTTTCAAAGGAAAGGTGGGGTCAAACTTGACCCCGAGATTGGTTACAAAGGGAGAGAGGGGAATGCTGTGGCCTAAGAGAGAGACTGAGGTGATGGGAGAAGAGTGAAGTTGATGGGGAGTTTTGAATGGCTTCTTTTTTGAGCCATTCAGCTGCAGGAAGTTTCGCCTCATCCATGCCCCATCTCCTCCAGGCAGGAGGTAAGACAGGAGAGAGATGCAGAGGGAACACCAGTGTGTTCAACCTGGTATAAACACCAGTAATGGGTCCAGCAGCACTGATACACCGGCGCATGTGCCGAGTTCATTTAGCGAAACCCCGAAAAAGACACGTGACCGATACAGATGCAGTGTCGCTTGTCACCGACGCGCCAAACTGTGTTTGAAGGTGCCGCATCTGCCAGTGTCACCGGGATGAATCTCTCTCAGAAAAAGAAAATAACTCTTTCAAAAATTAAAAACGTCCCGTTCTACAGCATCAAAATGGAGCCCGCCACTAAATAAAGTATTCTGCAGTGTGGGATCATTTTGACTTGTTAACAGCAAATAAGATAGAGTTTGTAATTCATATTTCACGCTTTATCTACAACCAATAATAATTCATGTGATACAGGTTAGCTATTTTCAAAGCAGGGCGGCATGGTGGCCAAGCACATAGCACCTTCACCTCACGGCAAGAAGGATGTGAGTTCGAATCCCAGTCGGAGCAGGACCTTGGTAGATACGTTAGAGTTGAAATCACAGTCAATCTTTATTGCAATCAACTGAGTTCAGTCGGCAACATCAGGTTAAGAATGTGCTTCAGGAGTTCAAGTGGAGTTAATGTCCAATTTATTTCTAAGGTTTTTTCAAGTATACTTTTGTTGCCAGGGTTTACAGTGCATGGCAACATTTGGACATGCTTATTATTTTGAATAAAAATATATAAAACACTCAATGACATCTTTCTTATAAACACATTCACAACTATCACTTTAATGTTCACATAAATGTTAAATAATAACACAGACAATGCAGTAACGTAACGTGCAGGTAAGTAAAGGTCATTGAATCAGTGAGTACGATGCAATGATGTATAAGATCCACCAGGCGTCGCTATAGAGCAGCACAAGCAACACTGCTGCGGCACAGATCAATACAGTTTGTTGGATGTGCCGAAACGATACGTGACGTTTCATTTACCCGTCACTAGTTACTACACTGGGCTCTTTAAGTTTTGTGAACACCAGCGGGCTGTGTGCTCCTGACCACGGCTTCGCTTGTTAATAGCACGTTACAGTCACAGGTGCGTTATGCAGAACTTAAAGATGCGTCACTGCGCCCGCCCATGAATTACAAACCGTGACATTACCCATGAACATAAATACTACTACCCCCGTATTTGTGACTATTCCCAAAGAACCAAACATGCAGAGTATTAAAAATGTTTAGGTACAAATATTTGGAGTTGATACATTTATGTTATTGTCGCTTGAAGTTAGATGGAGCAATGGTACAATTTAGTGTGGAGTGAGCCACTTCTAAAGAGCAGTGTCAGACATCTCCTGTGTTCAAGTCCTTTTTACTGATCTTATTATTATGGATGTTCCTCTCTCATCAGCAAACACACCTGATACAAATGACTAGGAAGTGATGCACAAACGAGGCCATAGCAAATATATCAATCATTTATAATAATCATTTATCGCACACATGTGTAATTGTTTACATCAAATATCAAAACAAATGATTACTGCCAATACAACTGTTATAACAGAGAAAGTCCGTAACAAAAGCCTTGTCTTTGGGTTTTCAGAATGAAGATTGTGAGAGCTCCACTGATGCTTCCCCAGCGTTGAGACCAGTGGGGGAGGGTCCCAGTTCAAAAGTGGCCAAAATGACGTGCGCTGACATGCTGCAATACCACTCCGGGCCGATGGGGGGGGACCCAGAAGAAGAATTAGCCAATGCTAACATATAGCGTTAGCAGACCTCTCGGGCGGCACGGTGGCTGAGTGCATAGCACTCACGCCTCTCAGCAAGAAGGTCCTGGGTTCGAATCCCGGCCGGACCAGGGCCTTTCTGAGTGGAGTTTGCATGTTCTCCCCGTGTCTGCGTAGGTTTCCTCCGGGTACTCCGGTTTCCCCTACCACTAAAAATATGTATAATAGGATTGGCATGCGCCTCCTGTTCGGCGACCCCGCTCCAATCTCTCTGTGGAGTGAGAGGACAAGTGCCCAAAAATAACAATTGTAAACCGCTTTGTGACTCTGGTCTGTGAAAGGCGGTATATAAATAAAGATTACTTACTTACTTACTTACTTACTTACCTCTCAAAAACGTCTTTACAGGATAGACCAAAAGTTGGCTCTTGGCCCAAAGCTCCGTTCCACATGTGTGTCAATGCTGAGGGGGGTGTTTTGGTCCACTCTAGTTTACTTGCTGTGAATTTCTGAAGTCTCTCGTTCAAATGACTGGAGCTGCGCCGGCTGACGCATGCGCAGATGTGTTTTTTCACAATTTTTTTGTGGGCGGGACTACTCGCGGCCATTTTGGATAGCTCCAGTAGAGCACATTATTTGGCCCATTAGTTAGAACGGCGGAGATAGGCGTGACTCTGTCCGTTAATATATACAGTCTGTTCTCGGCTTGAACACTGCCCAACCCTCGCTGTCAGCACCAGAAGAATAGTCCGACAATGTTCTATTTGATCCCCAAACAGACCTCCGATATGGCAATAGAGGGGGGTATTTATCGCCTCAAATGTTATTAGAAGTAACTTTTATGTCCTAATTAAAGCGTGTTTTAAACTTTTTTCCTTCCACCTCGGCCGCTGTGTCCTTCCCTCTCCGCTCTGAGTTGTGTTGAGTTGAACAGAGAAGCCTCGCCCCAAAACGCTCTCTTCCCTCCAGAACTCTGTCCAGAACGCTGTCCAGAACTCTGTCCAGAACTCTGTCCAGAACGCTGTCCAGAACGCTGTCCAGAACGCTGTCCAGAACACTGTCCAGAACACTGTCCAGAACTCTGTCCAGAACGCTGTCCAGAACGCTGTCCAGAACGCTGTCCAGAACGCTGTCCAGAACTCTGTCCAGAACGCTGTCCAGAACGCTGTCCAGAACGCTGTCCAGAACGCTGTCCAGAACACTGTCCAGAACACTGTCCAGAACTCTGTCCAGAACACTGTCCAGAACGCTGTCCAGAACGCTGTCCAGAACGCTGTCCAGAACGCTGTCCAGAACGCTGTCCAGAACGCTGTCCAGAACGCTGTCCAGAACGCTGTCCAGAACGCTGCCCAGAACGCTGTCCAGAACGCTGTCCAGAACGCTGCCCAGAACGCTGTCCAGAACACTGTCCAGAACGCTGTCCAGAACGCTGTCCAGAACGCTGTCCAGAACGCTGCCCAGAACGCTGTCCAGAACGCTGTCCAGAACGCTGTCCAGAACGCTGCCCAGAACGCTGCCCAGAATGCTGTCCAGAACACTGTCCAGAACGCTGTCCAGAACGCTGTCCAGAACACTGCCCAGAACACTGTCCAGAACGCTGTCCAGAACGCTGTCCAGAACGCTGTCCAGAACACTGTCCAGAACGCTGTCCAGAACACTGCCCAGAACACTTTCCAGAACACTGCCCAGAACGCTGGAGACTGGTGGAAAAGGACCCCTGGTTCTTAGGCTGTGAACGGTCCACTCAAAGCCCAGTTTTGAGAGCTCTTTTCTGGGGAGACAGGTCAGACAGTCTGGTTCTTCCACCCCTATACAGGTTTAATTTTAACCCCAGCCCCACTACGCGCAGGCGCACAAGAAGCGCACGCGCACACACACACACACGCAGGCACGCACGCACACACACACACACACACAAATATTTTGAGTGACTTCCTGTGACTATCGTCTGATCTCGTGGCTGTTTGTGTGAAGTGTGTCCTGCAGACCACAGAGAAGGCCCTGTGCTCTGGGTTTAAGACCACAGAGAAGGCCCTGTGCTCTGGGTTTAAGACCACAGAGAAGGCCCTGTGCTCTGGGTTTAAGACCACAGAGAAGGCCCTGTGCTCTGGGTTTAAGACCACAGAGAAGGCCCTGTGCTCTGGGTTTAAGACCACAGAGAAGGCCCTGTGCTCTGGGTTTAAGACTAAAGAGAAGGCCCTGTGCTCTGGGTTTAAGACTAAAGAGAAGGCCCTGTGCTCTGGGTTTAAGACTAAAGAGAAGGCCCTGTGCTCTGGGTTTAAGACTAAAGAGAAGGCCCTGTGCTCTGGGTTTAAGACCACAGAGAAGGCCCTGTGCTCTGGGTTTAAGACCTCAGAGATGGCCCTGTGCTCTGGGTTTAAGACTAAAGAAAAGGCCCTGTGCTCTGGGTTTAAGACCACAGAGAAGGCCCTGTGCTCTGGGTTTAAGACCTCAGAGATGGCCCTGTGCTGTGGGTTTTAGACCACAGAGAAGGCCCTGTGCTCTGGGTTTAAGACCACAGAGAAGGTCCTGTGCTCTGGGTTTTAGACCACAGAGAAGGCCCTGTGCTCTGGGTTTAAGACCACAGAGAAGGCCCTGTGCTCTGGGTTTAAGACCACAGAGAAGGCCCTGTGCTCTGGGTTTAAGACCACAGAGAAGGCCCTGTGCTCTGGGTTTAAGACCACAGAGAAGGCCCTGTGCTCTGGGTTTAAGACCACAGAGAAGGCCCTGTGCTCTGGGTTTAAGACCACAGAGAAGGCCCTGTGCTCTGGGTTTAAGACTAAAGAGAAGGCCCTGTGCTCTGGGTTTAAGACCACAGAGAAGGCCCTGTGCTCTGGGTTTAAGACCACAGAGAAGGCCCTGTGCTCTGGATTCAAGACCACAGCGAAGGCCCTGTGCTCTGGGTTTTAGACCACAGAGAAGGCCCTGTGCTCTGGGTTTTAGACCACAGAGAAGGCCGTGTGCTCTGGGTTTAAGACCACAGAGAAGGCCCTGTGCTCTGGGTTTGATACCACAGAGAAGGCCCTGTGCTCTGGGTTTGAGACCACAGAGAAGGCCCTGTGCTCTGGGTTTGAGACCACAGAGAAGGCCCTGTGCTCTGGGTTTGAGACCACAGAGGCCCTGTGCTCTGGGTTTAAGACCACAGAGAAGGCCCTGTGCTCTGGGTTTAAGACCACAGAGAAGGCCCTGTGCTCTGGGTTTAAGACCACAGAAGAAGGCCCTGTGCTCTGGGTTTGAGACCACAGAGAAGGCCCTGTGCTCGGGGTTTAAGACTAAAGAGAAGGCCCTGTGCTCTGGGTTTAAGACCACAGAGAAGGCCCTGTGCTCTGGGTTTAAGACCACAGAGAAAGCCCTGTGCTCTGGGTTTAAGACCACAGAGAAGGCCCTCTTACACACACACACAGAGACACACACACACACACACACAGACACACACACACACACAAACACAAATTGACTATTTAAAGACATGGTTTTTACATTTGAACTATTTTGATGTTGTTTTATTATTTTTTTTTTTTTAAACAATTATAACACATTTATAAACATCCTGATCCCAGGACTTTCTCTGGTCTCTCTCTCTGGTCTCTCTCTCTGGTCTCTCTCTGGTCTCTCTCTGGTCTCTCTCTCTGGTCTCTCTCTGGTCTCTCTCAGATCTCTCTCTGGTCTCTCTCTGGTCTCTCTCTGGTCTCTCTCTGGTCTCTCTCTGGTCTCTCTCTCTGGTCTCTCTCTGGTCTCTCTCTGGTCTCTCTCTCTGGTCTCTCTCTGGTCTCTCTCTGGTCTCTCTCTCTGGTCTCTCTCTAGTCTCTCTCTCTGGTCTCTCTCTGGTCTCTCTCTCTGGGCTCTCTCTGATCTCTCTCTGGTCTCTCTCTAGTCTCTCTCTGGTCTCTCTCTGATCTCTCTCTGGTCTCTCTCTAGTCTCTCTCTCTGGTCTCTCTCTGGTCTCTCTCTGATCTCTCTCTGGTCTCTCTCTAGTCTCTCTCTCTGGTCTCTCTCTGGTCTCTCTCTCTGGTCTCTCTCTGGTCTCTCTCTAGTCTCTCTCTCTGGTCTCTCTCTGGTCTCTCTCTCTCTCTGGTCTCTCTCTGGTCTCTCTCTGGTCTCTCTCTAGTCTCTCGCTCTGGTCTCTCTCTGGTCTCTCTCTAGTCTATCTCTCTGGTCTCTCTCTGGTCTCTCTCTAGTCTCTCTCTCTGGTCTCTCTCTGGTCTCGCTGGTCTCTCTCTGGTCTCTCTCTGGTCTCGCTGGTCTCTCTCTGGTCTCTCTCTGGTCTCTCTCTAGTCTCTCTCTCTGGTCTCTCTCTGGTCTCTCTAGTCTCTCTCTCTGGTCTCTCTCTGGTCTCTCTCTGGTCTCTCTCTAGTCTCTCTCTCTGGTCTCTCTCTGGTCTCTCTGTTCTCTCTCTGGTCTCTCTCTAGTCTCTCTCTAGTCTCTCTCTCTGGTCTCTCTCTGGTCTCTCTCTAGTCTCTCTCTCTGGTCTCTCTCTGGTGTCTCTCTGGTCTCTCTCTGGTCTCTCTCTGGTCTCTCTCTGGTCTCTCTCTAGTCTCTCTCTCTGGTCTCTCTCTGGTCTCTCTCTGGTCTCTCTCTGGTCTCTCTCTGGTCTCTCTCTGGTCTCTCTCTGGTCTCTCTCTGGTCTCTCTCTGGTCTGATTCGTTCAAACATTTCACATTTACGAGGCCCTTTCTGTCGGACCAACGACCTGTTACTATGGAAACAGAGAAGTTAGAGACCCGAGCTTTAAATGGAAGAGACTGAGCAGTTCGTGGAAACGTTTACATCAGATTAAAACATTTCCGTCTTCAGAAAAAGTGACGATGACGAGATAAGAACATGTTCAAGAGACAGCGATCAGTGAGACCAGACCCAAACCAGACCAAGTCCTGGTTTAGACTGGCTTCAGTCCTGGTTTAGTCCTGGTTTAGTCCTCGTTTAGTCCGGCTTCAGACCTGCTTCACACCTGCTTCAGACCTGCTTCAGACCTGGTTCAGACCTGGTTCAGACCTGCTTCAGACCTGGTTCAGACCTGGTTCAGACCTGGTCCAGTCCTGGTCCTGACCATGGCCATCAGAGTCCTGATTCTGTCCCTTTGCTGTCTGGGTAAGTGTTTGAATTCTCTTGTTCTATTTTTCAGACTTTTTGTTTGGTTCAAACGTAAACAGAGAAGTTGCTTCTGAACCAGAGCTTTTTAAAAAGTGTAGATTTTAGAAAACATTGTGTTGAAGCTGAAGACCCTTTAATCTACCTCTTTATGTGACAAGGTTATTATTGGGGCGACAGTAGCTCAGTTGGTAGAGCATTGGCCTTTGGGCCTGAAGGTTGTGGGTTCGAGCCCACCATAAGACCTACTTCACGACTCCCACTGATGACTGCTGTCGTTGTGTCCTTGGGCAAGACACTTAACCCCACTTTGCCTGAAGCTCCCACTGAAAGATCTCAGCTCCTGTGGACTCACCACCTGCAGGAGGATCAGTGAGGGGCTGGTGCTCTTTGTACTGGGTGCAGCTCTGACTGCCACCCCCCCGACCCAGAAATGGATTAAGGGGAAGAAAATGGATGGATGGATGGATGGTTTTTATTGTCGGCTTTGAATAAATAGATTAAAAACAACCAAACTAAACTTTGTAGATCCTTGTTTGTTGGTGATTTAGGTCCCCGAGCTTTAGCCTCAGAGTTGCAGAGGAGGCGGTGGGGGCCGTCTCCATGGAGACAGCAGAGACTGTGAAACATATCAGTCAGAATGAGAGAAAGTGAAGGAGGAATGGGCTCTGGACTTTCTCTGGTCTCTCCATGGTCTCTATCTGGTCTTTCTCTGGTCTCTCTCTGGTCTCTCTCTGGTCTCTCTATCTGGTCTCTCTCTGGTCTCTCTCTGGTCTCTCACTGGCCTCTCTCGGGTCTCTCTCTGGTCTTTCTCTGGTCTCTTTCTGGACTCTCTCTGGTCTCCCTCTGGTCTCTCCATGGTCTCTCTCTGGTCTCTCTCTGGTCTCCCTCTGTTCTCCCTCTGGTCTCTCTCCGGTAACTCTCTGGTCTCTCTCAAGTCTCTCTCTGGTCTCTCTCTGGTCTCTCTATCTGGTCTCTCTCTGGTCTCTCTCTGGTCTCTCTCTGGTCTCTCTCTGGTCTATCTCTAGTCTCCCTCTGGACTCTCTCTGGTCTCTATCAGGTCTCTCTGGTAGCTCTCTGGTCTCTCTCTGGTCTCTCTCTGGTCTCTCTCTGGCCTTTCTCTGGTCTCCCTCTGTTCTCCCTCTGGTCTCTCTCCGGTCTCTCTCTGGCCTCTCTCTGGTCTCTATCAGGTCTCTCTGGTCTCTCTCTGGCCTCTCTCTGGTCTCTCTCTGGTCTCCCTCTGGTCTCCCTCTGGTCTCCCTCTGGTCCCCCTCTGTTCTCTCTCTGGTCTCTCTCTGGTCTCCCTCTGGTCTTTCCATGGTCTCTCTCTGGTCTCTCTCTGGTCTCCCTCTGGTCTCTCTCTGATCTTTCTCTGGTCTCCCTCTGGTCTCTCCATGGTCTCTATCAGGTCTCTCTGGTAGCTCTCTGGTCTCTCTCTGGTCTCTCTATCTGGTCTCTCTCTGGTCTCTCTCTGGTCTCTCACTGGCCTCTCTCGGGTCTCTCTCTGGTCTCTCTCTGGTCTCTTTCTGGTCTCTCTCTGGTCTCTCTCTGGTCTCTCCTCTGGTCTCTCTCTGGTCTCTCTCTGGTCTCCCTCTGTTCTCCCTCTGGTCTCTCTCCGGTAACTCTCTGGTCTCTCTCAAGTCTCTCTCTGGTCTCTCTCTGGTCTCTCTATCTGGTCTCTCTCTGGTCTCTCTCTGGTCTCTCTCTGGTCTATCTCTAGTCTCCCTCTGGACTCTCTCTGGTCTCTATCAGGTCTCTCTGGTAGCTCTCTGGTCTCTCTCTGGTCTCTCTCTGTTCTCCCTCTGTTCTCCCGCTGGACTCTCTCTGGTCTCTCTCTGGCCTCTCTCTGGTCTCTATCAGGTCTCTCTGGTCTCCCTCTGGCCTCTCTCTGGCGTCTCTCTGGTCTATCTCTGGTCTCCCTCTGGTCTCCCTCTGGTCCCCCTCTGTTCTCTCTCTGGTTTCTCTCTGGTCTCCCTCTGGTCTTTCCATGGTCTCTCTCTGGTCTCTCTCTGGTCTCCCTCTGGTCTCTCTCTGATCTTTCTCTGGTCTCCCTCTGGTCTCTCCATGGTCTCTATCAGGTCTCTCTGGTAGCTCTCTGGTCTCTGTCTGGTCTCTCTCTGGTCTCTCTCTGGCCTCTCTCTGGTCTCCCTCTGGTCTCCCTCTGTTCACCCTCTGGTCTCTCTTCGGTCTCTCTCTGGTCCCTCTCTGGTCTATCTCTAGTCTCCCTCTGGTCTCTCTCTGATCTCTCTCTGGTCTCTCTCAGGTCTCCCTCTGTTCTCCCTCTGTTCTCCCTCTGATCTCTCTCCGGTCTCTCTCTGGTCTCTCTCTGGTCTCTCTCAAGTCTCTCTGGTCTCTCTCTGGTTTCTTTCTGGTCTCTCTCTGGTCTCTCCCTGGTCTCTCCGGTCTCTCTCTGGTCTCTCTCTGGGCTTTCTTCGGTCTTTCTCTCTCTGGTCCCTCTTCGGTCTATCTTTAGTCTCTCTCGTCTTCCTCTGGTCTATCTCTGGTCTCTCTCTGGTTTCTCTCTGGTCTCTCTCTCTGGTCTCTCTTTGGTCTCCCTCTGGTTTCTCTCTCTCTAGTCTCTCTCTGGCCTCTCTCTGGTCTCTCTTTAGTCTCTCTCTGGTCTCTCTTTAGTCTCTCTGGTGTCTATCTCTGGTCTCTCTTCGGTCTTTCTCTCTCTTGTCTTCCTCTGGTCTATCTCTGGTCTCTCTTTAGTCTCTCTTTAGTCTCTCTTTAGTCTCTCTGGTGTCTCTCTAGTCTCTCTCTGGTCTCTCTCTGGTCACTCTCTGGTCTCTCTCTGGTCTCTCTCTGGTCTCTCTCTGGTCACTCTCTGGTCTCTCTCTGGTCTCTCTCTGGTCTCTCTCTGGTCTCTCTCTGTTCTCTCTCTGGTCTCTCTCCCTCTGGTCTCTCTCTCTGGTCTCTCTCTGGTCTCTCTTTAGTCTCTCTGGTGTCTCTCTCTGGTCTCTCTTCGGTCTTTCTCTCTCTTGTCTTCCTCTGGTCTCTCTTTAGTCTCTCTTTAGTCTCTCTTTAGTCTCTCTGGTGTCTCTCTGGTCTCTCTCTGGTCACTCTCTGGTCACTCTCTGGTCTCTCTCTGGTCTCTCTCTGGTCTCTCTCTGGTCTCTCTCTGTTCTCTCTCTGGTCTCTCTCTCTCTGGTCTCTCTCTCTGGTCTCTCTCTCTGGTCTCTCTTTGGTCTCCCTCTGGTTTCTCTCTCTCTGGTCTCTCTCTGGCCTCTCTCTGGTCTCTCTCTCTGGTCTCTCTCTCTGGTCTCTCTCTGGTCTCTCTCTGGTCTCTCTCTGGTCACTCTCTGGTCTCTCTCTGGTCTCTCTCTGGTCTCTCTCTCTCTGGTCTCTCTCTGGTCTCTCTCTCTGGTCTCTCTCTGGTCTCTCTCTGGTCTCTCTCTGGTATCTCTCTGGTCACTCTCTGGTCTCTCTCTGGTCTCTCTCTGGTCTCTCTCTCTCTGGTCTCTCTCTCTGGTCTCTCTCTCTGGTCTCTCTCTCTGGTCTCGCTCTGGTCTCTCTCTCTGGTCTCTCTCTCTGGTCTCTCTCTCTGCTCTCTCTCTGGTCTCTCTTTGGTCTCCCTCTGGTCTCTCTCTCTGGTCTCTCTCTCTGGTCTCTCTCTCTGGTCTCTCTCTGGTCTCTCTCTGGTCTCTTTCTGGTCCCTCTGGTCTCTCTCTGGTCTCCCTCTGTTCTCCCTCTGTTCTCCCTCTGATCTCTCTCCGGTCTCTCTCTGGTCTCTCTCAAGTTTCTCTGGTCTCTCTCTGGTTTCATTCTGGTCTCTCTCTGGTCTCTCCCTGGTCTCTCCGGTCTCTCTCTGGTCTCTCTCTGGTCTTTCTTCGGTCTTTCTCTCTCTGGTCCCTCTTCGGCCTATCTTTAGTCTCTCTCGTCTTCCTCTGGTCTATCTCTGGTCTCTCTCTGGTTTCTCTCTGGTCTCTCTCTCTGGTCTCTCTTTGGTCTCCCTCTGGTTTCTCTCTCTCTAGTCTCTCTCTGGCCTCTCTCTGGTCTCTCTTTGGTCTCCCTCTGGTCTCTCTCTCTGGTCTCTCTCTGGACACTCTTTAGTCTCTCTGGTGTCTCTCTCTGGTCTCTCTTCGGTCTTTCTCTCTCTTGTCTTCCTCTGGTCTCTCTTTAGTCTCTCTGGTCTCTCTTTGGTCTCCCTCTTGTCTCTCTCTCTGGTCTCTCTCTAGTCTCTCTCTGGTCTCTCTGTGGTCTCTCTCTCTCTGGTCTCTCTTTGGTTTCTCTCTCTCTAGTCTCTCTCTGGCCTCTCTCTGGTCTCTCTTTGGTCTTCCTCTGGTCTCTCTCTGGTCTCTCTTCGGTCTTTCTCTCTCTTGTCTTCCTCTGGTCTCTCTTTAGTCTCTCTTTAGTCTCTCTTTAGTCTCTGTGGTGTCTCTCTGGTGTCTCTCTGGTCTCTCTCTGTTCTCTCTCTGGTGTCTCTCTGGTCACTCTCTGGTCTCTCTCTGGTCTCTCTCTGGTCTCTCTCTGTTCTCTCTCTGGTCTCTCTCCCTCTGGTCTCTCTCTCTGGTCTCTCTCTGGTCTCTCTTTAGTCTCTCTGGTGTCTCTCTGGTCTCTCTCTGTTCTCTCTCTGGTCTCTCTCCCTCTGGTCTCTCTCTCTGGTCTCTCTCTGGTCTCTCTTTAGTCTCTCTGGTGTCTCTCTGGTCTCTCTCTGGTCTCTCTCTGGTCACTCTCTGGTCTCTCTCTGTAAATAAAGATTACTTACTTACTTACTTACTCTCTGGTCTCTCTCTGGTCTCTCTCTGTTCTCTCTCTGGTCTCTCTCTGTTCTCTCTCTGGTCTCTCTCTCTGCTCTCTCTCTCTGGTCTCTCTTTGGTCTCCCTCTGGTTTCTCTCTCTCTGGTCTCTCTCTGGCCTCTCTCTGGTCACTCTCTGGTCTCTCTCTGGTCTCTCTCTGGTCACTCTCTGGTCTCTCTCTGGTCTCTCTCTGGTCTCTCTCTCTCTCTCTGGTCTCTCTCTCTGGTCTCTCTCTGGTATCTCTCTGGTCACTCTCTGGTCTCTCTCTGGTCTCTCTCTGGTCTCTCTCTCTCTGGTCTCTCTCTCTGGTCTCTCTCTCTGGTCTCTCTCTGGTCTCTCTCTGGTCTCTCTCTCTGGTCTCTCTCTCTGGTTCTCTCTCTCTGGTCTCTCTCTCTGCTCTCTCTCTGGTCTCTCTTTGGTCTCCCTCTGGTCTCTCTCTGGTCTCTCTCTCTGGTCTCTCTCTCTGGTCTCTCTCTCTGGTCTCTCTCTCTGGTCTCTCTCTGGTCTCTTTCTGGTCTCTCTCTTGTCTCTCCCTGGTCTCGCTCTCTGGTCTCTCTCTGGTCTCTCTCTGGCCTCTCTCTGGTCTCTCTCTGTTCTCTCTCTGGTCTCTCTCTGGTCACTCTCTGGTCTCTCTCTGGTCTCTCTCTGGTCTCTCTCTGTTCTCTCTCTGTTCTCTCTCTGGTCTCTCTCTGTTCTCTCTCTGGTCTCTCTCTCTGGTCTCTCTCTCTGGTCTCTCTTTGGTCTCCCTCTGGTTTCTCTCTCTCTGGTCTCTCTCTGGCCTCTCTCTGGTCACTCTCTAGTCTCTCTCTGGTCTCTCTCTGGTCACTCTCTGGTCACTCTCTGGTCTCTCTCTGGTCTCTCTCTGGTCTCTCTCTCTCTGGTCTCTCTCTCTGGTCTCTCTCTCTGTTCTCTCTCTGGTCTCTCTCTGGTATCTCTCTGGTCACTCTCTGGTCTCTCTCTGGTCTCTCTCTGGTCTCTCTCTGGTCTCTCTCTCTGGTCTCTCTCTCTGGTCTCTTTCTGGTCTCTCTCTTGTCTCTCCCTGGTCTCTCTCTCTGGTCTCTCTCTGGTCTCTCTCTGGGGTCTCTCTCTGGTCTCTCTCTGGTTTTTCAGTGTTCCTCAGTTGTGTGTCGCCCTGTGTCATGTGACCCACAGTCGACATTTTGTAACACAACTTCTCTGTGTGCAGGGGTCCTGGGAGACACACACAACTCATCGGGTAACACACACACACACACACAGACACACTCACACACAAACACACACACACAGATACACACACACACACAGACACACCCACCCACACACACACACTCACACACACACACACACACACACACACACACACACACTGGGACTGGACTCACTGGGCTCCAAGGCTCAGACTATTATGTCAATGTTCCTCTGGGTTTGGATCCAGAGTCTGCTCTGCGCTGGACTGTGGCTCTGCTCTGTCTCTGGAGGAAAAAAACAGTTCAAGAACGAAAAGCTGTGAAAAGTCAAGGAGACTGTGATGAACCTGAACTGATCGACTGTTTTTTAAAGAAACATCTGACTCTGATCGAAGTCTTCATTCTCAACTGCTCATGGTCGGACAACACTCACCTTTGTCACACCAACATTTTTCACTTCACCATCATCAGAAGGAGGCAGCAGCTTTGACACTGAGTCAGATAGGAGGCGCAGCTTTGACTCTGAGTCAGAAGGTGGGCGCTGCTTATGTGACACTTTGACGTCAGAAGGAGGCGCAGCGTTGACACTGAGTCTGAAGGAGGTCGCAGAGCTTTGACTCTGAGTCACAGTAGGTGGAGCGCATGGTTTGGTCAATGAAGTCTGTTAGGAGGACGCAGCAGTTGTGGTACACTGCGTCACGTAAGGAGGAGGCACATGCTTGGTCCACTGGTGTCAGCTAAAAGGAGGCGCAGCTTTGACACTGTGTCAGATGGAGTGCGCCAGCGCTTTGTACTATCTGAGTCTGAAGGAGGTGCTGGTTTGACACTGAGTACAGATGGTGGCGCAGCTTTGACACTGAGTCCAGAAGGAGGCGCAGCCTTGACAAGTGTCAGAAGGAGGAGAAGGTTTGGACACTGGTAAGGAAGGAGGCGTTGTTGCACATGAGTCAGAAGGAGGAGCTGCTTTGACTCTGAGTCAGAAGGGGCGCAGGTTTTCTTGTTTTTCTTCGACACTGAGTCAGAAGGAAGGGAGCAGCTGTGACACTTGTGTCAGAAGGAGGCGCAGGGGGGAGCAGATTTCTCAGTGAGTCTGATAGGTGGCGCAGGTTTGACAGTGAGTACAGATAGGAGTGTTGGAACTCAAGGGCTGGGCGGTCTATTCTTCAGTGGTTCATCCATTGACATGCCTACCTGTTGATGGTCACACTACAGGAGATAGTTTAGGTCAGACACTCACACTCTACACAACAGGGAGAGCAACACTCAGTGGAACAACACTGCTTTTTTATGGACACGCTACAATTACAATTACAAAACAGAGTCACTATTCTACATCACAACCATGGTCTCATATCTATAAGGCATGAAGAAAAATACAAAACTCAACACACTGCTAATATTTACAGTTCCTTGAGACTGAACATCGCCCACAACTCAGAACCAATCTTGTGGTCCACCCAGGGGCTCTCAGGTGAAAGTATTTATTTGAAGGGCACATGTCCTCACTGTGTTGTCTGCTGGGGTGCGCATGTGTCACAGAGTGTGATGTGAGACCTCTGTGTCTCAGTACTCTGTGTCCAGAGTGTGATGTATGTACTCTCTGGTCTCAGACCTCTTGTGTCACAGGTGTGTGATGTAAGGACCCATCGGTGTCAGACTCTTGTGTCCAGAGTGTGTTGAAGGGAATAACACCCTCTGTGTCTCTGAACTCCTGGTGTCACAGAAGTGTGATGAAGGATCCTCTGTGTCTCTGATCTCTGTGTCACAGAGTGTGTTGATAGTCCTCTACTGTCTCAGAGACATCTGTGTCCTGAGTGTGATGTTTGACCTCTGTGTCTCTGACTCTGTGTCCTGAGTGTGATGAAGTCCTCTCTGTAATCATGTCTCTGTGTCCATGTGTGTGATGGATGACCTCGCTGTCTCAGAGTCGGCCCGTGTCCAGCGTGTGATGACATGGACCTCTTGCTGGGCTCTGACTACTCTGTGTCCAGAGTGTGATGAAGTCCATCTGTGTCTCATGTCACTCTGTGTCCATGAGGTTGTGCTTGTATGTCCTCTGTGTCATCAGACTCTGTGTACACAGTGTGTGGATGGAAGTACCTCTGTGGTCTCTGAACTCTCAATGGGCGTCAAGTGTGTGATTGAATGACCTCTGTGGGTTGGGGGGGGCACGTCTCAGACTCACTGTGTCACATGGTGTGATGAAAGTACACTCTCTGTACTCTGACTCGGTGTCCAGAGTGTGGTGTTGACCTCTCGGTCTTCAGGACTCGGTGTCCAGAGTGTGATGAAGACCTCTCTGTCATCAGACTCTGTGTCCAGAGTTGTGGATGAAGTACCTCTGTGTCTCAGACTCTGTGTCCTGAGTGTGATGATGACCTCTGTCTCAGTACTCGGTGTCCAGAGTGCTGATATGAAGTCCATCTCTGTCTACAGGGGTACCCCCCCTCCGCGGTGTGCAGAGGTGGGATGAAGACCACTCTGTGTACTTACAAGGGGACTCATGTGTCCAGTGTGTGTTGAAGACCTTTCTCGTCTCCATGGGTACTCGGTGTGTTCCAGAGTGTGATGATGACGACTCTCTGTCTCAGGACTCTGTGTCCAGAGTGTGTGTTGATGACCTCTCTGTCTCAGACTCTGTGGCACTGAGTGTGATGGAAGACCTATGTGTCTCAGTAACTCTGTGTCCAGAGTGTGATGATACGTCATCTCTGTCCTAAGACTCTGTGTCCAGTGTGTGATGATGTCCTGCTGTGTCCTCAGAACTCTGTGTCCAGAGTGTGTTGTAGTCACATCTCTGTCGCACGACTTTGTCAGAGTGTGATGTAAGTCCTCTCGTCTCAGACTATGTGTAACAGTGTGTGATGAAGACCTCTGTCTCTGGAATTGTGTACTGTGTGTGATGTAGACTACTTCTTCTTGACTGTGTACACAGAGTGTGTGATGAACCTCTGAGTCTCTGTCTCAGGTGCTCCTGAGTGTGATGATAGTGACCTCTCTGTCTCAGGACTCTGTGTCACAAGAAGTGTGTGATGAAGACCTCTCTGTGATCAGAACTGTGTCCAGCGTGGATGAAGACCTCTGGGTCTTCAGACTATGTGTCAAGAGTGTGTGAAGACATCTCTACTTGTCTCTGACTCCGGTGTCCAGAGTGTGATGTTGACCTCTGTCTCTGACTATGTGTCCAGAGTGTGTTGAAGACCTCCTCGTCTCAGACTGTGTCCAGAGAGTGATGAAAGTCATCGGTGTCTCCAGACTTGTGTCATGAGTGTGTGAAGAACCCTCTCTGTCTATAGACTCTGTGTATGAGTGTGATGAAGACCTCTGTCTAAGACTCTGTGTCTCAGAGTTTGATGAAAGACCTCGGTGTCTCTAGACTCTGTGTCCTGAGTTGATGAAGACACTCTGTGTCTCAGTACTCTGTGTCCAGAGTGTGATGATGACCCTCTCTGTCTATCTGTCTCGGTGTCTGAGTTTGATGTAAGACACTCTGTGTCTCAGACTCTGTGTCCAGTGTGTGTGAAGACCATCTCTGTCTCTGACTCTGTGTCCAGAGTGTGATGATGTCTACTCTGTCTACGACTCTGTGTCCCAGTAGTGTGGATGTAGTACCTTGTGTCTAAGACTCTGTGTCCAGACGTGTGATGAATGACCTCCTGTTCAGACTCTGTGTCCAGAGGTGTTTGAATGGACCTCTCTGTCTTCAGACTCTGTGTCAGCGTGTGCTTGTTGTCCTCTATGTCTCAGAATCTGTGTCCAGAGTGTGATTGTAGACCTCTGGTGTCTCTGACTCTGTGTCAAGTGTGTGTTGATGTGCCGCTCTGTCATCAGGACTCTGTGTGGTGTGGGCGCCCAGAGGTGTGATGAAGACTATATGTCTCAGACATCTGTGTCCAGAGGGTGTGATTGGAAGTCCTATCTGTCTCAGAGCTCGTGTCCAGAGTGTGTTGATGGACCTCTGTGTATCCAGACTCTGTGCCCAGGTGTGA